CTCTGAACACTGAACACTGAAGGTTTTTTTACTTTCATGCATAGAATGCATGAGGGTGCCTGCAGCCTCCAGCCTCTATAACCACTTTAAATTCATCATAAATTGGTAAATAAGAATTCACAATTTCTGTAAACACCCAATGTTTATAAAATCTATGCATACTAAAGTAAAATAGAATCATAAATAGTCTAAATTATTAATGGAAAGTCCAAAAAGTGACCAGCTTCTGGGTTTGATAAACACATTAGTGCCACGAGAAAGGAATGTTCCACCAGACCACTGCACCAACAATTTAAGTCGGACCCTTACCATATAATTTGATCCCCCAAAGAGATCAAGAAAAGTAACAGCAGCACCACATATTCTGGCCACAAAATCTGGTTGCAAATTTCTAAGTGGCATGCACTCAGCAAAACGTATTAATGAAAAGAAGGCAATGCCATATTGTATAAATAAAACAGCACAAAAATTATATAATAAATACAAAAAATGTTTGTGATAAAGTCCACCATCCCAAAAACGGTGATTAAGGGCTCCAATCAAAAGAATCCGTGCCAAAATGAAAAGTGTTCTTAAAATGATATCACCACACAGTGCTCCGTGATCACTTTCCAATATAATCCACACTCACCAGATTTGATGGACTCTTAGCTTATAGGACTTAAGAGTCAACAAGGCTTTAGCTGGTGAGATGTGTTCCCAGGAAAATCCAGGGTTTGGAATGGAATAAGGGTAAACTTCCTCAATACTTTCAACAATCCTCATGCAGGCAGAAGAAAAGCAAAAGAGGGGACACTGATAGTGTAATAATGTAACACTCCTTTCTTAAAACCAAAGTACATATTACACTCACATGTTGTAAACAGTAAATCAGCCTTAAAATGGTATATGGTCCGTGGTCCACATCAGTACAACGCTGAACAGCAAAAATGACTCTGGAGCGCCGCTGATAGCGTGCGCTCCACTCACCGGATGTGACGTCACAAAGACCTTGCCGAAACCGGAAATTACGTCGAAGCGTTTCGCCCCTCCTCCAGGGCGTCCTCACAGACCCTGTGAACAGCAGCATTAATTGTCACTTATTGAGTTTATTGGTTTGTCACATATGTGCAGGTTATTTATTGTTTTTGAATGCCATATTGTAGTATTATAAAAAATTGCTTCTTTAATATAGCAAAAAGACACTTACAAGATGCATAAGCACAGCGGCTAAACAAAAGGAAATGCATCAACTGATCTCCCACCAGCATGCGTGATGACGTAATGTGTTGTGCCTCCCCCAACACATTTCTATGCAACCAGAGTCTTCAGGGGATAGAGGCAGTTGCAGAGAAACACATTGGGCAGGGTGCCCAACATGTGACGTTATCACGCACGCCAAGCAGGAGATCTGGTGGTGCATTTGCTCTTGTTATGCCGCTGTGCTTATGTATCTTGGAAGTATCTCTGTGCTACTGTACGACTTGCACTAATTATGAGAAATGTTTAGCTCCCTTCACTCTTGAGCATTTTCTTTTCTTTCCAGGTGCCTGATTACACTTGACTATGATTATCATCCCGAATCCCATTCTTTCTAATTGTCCCTGTTCACATTATGTACATTTGATCACCCTACGCTCTATGCCATACACTCAAAAAAGTATAAAAGCATTTTTTTGATGATGTAATGTGTTTACACTCTATGCCATACACTCAAAAAAGTATGTAAGCCTTTCTTTGATGACGTAATGTGTTGCGCCTACCCAACACGTTTCTTTGCAACCAGCGTCTTCAGGGGATAGAGGCAGTTGCAGAGAAACATATTGGGCAGGGCGCCCAACATGTGACGTCATCACGCACGCCAAGCAGGAGATCTGTTGGTGCATTTCCTCTTGTTATGACGCTGTGCTTATGCATCTTGAAAGTATCTTTCTGCTACTGTACTACTTGCACTAATTATGAGAAATGTTTAGCTCCCTTCACTCTTGAGCATTTTTCTGTTTCTTTCCTTGTGCCTGATTACGCTTGACTATGATTATCATCCAGAATCCCATTCTTTCTAATCATCCCTGTCCACAATGTGTACATTTGATCACCCTACACTCTATGCCATACACTCAAAAAAGTATATAAGCCTTTTTTGGGGAATATTAAGACATTTTTGTCCCAAAGACTTCAATAGGAGCCCCTGTAAATGTGTGCTATGTGCATTTTTAAGCCTGAAGAACTCATCTCCTGTTATATAACTGCTCTCTTCCCCTTGCCCAGCTCAGGAAACAAACTCCTAAGGCTCCATGCACTTTGGGCATTTTAATAATGCTGGTAAGGTTAGCTGTGTAAAGTCACGTTAAAATATGAGTTTTTTCAGCGTTTTTAGCATTTTTGTATTAGAGTTTAGCGGAGCTTTGCCGTGTTTTTTCACATTTGCGTTTTCTAGAGGTTTTATTGTCAAAAATACATCCAAAACCGCTGGTTTGCTGCGATTTACTGCTTTTTTCAGCATTACAGCGTTTTTACAGCTAAAAAACTCCTCTAGAAACCCACTAGTCCTGGGTTTTTTTTTTCCAGCCTAGAAATGTCCCAGCCAAAAAACGCTGAATACAGTCCATGTGTGCATGGACACATAGGATAACATGCTGGGGGTTTACTGGCTGTAGAAAAAAAATGTCAAAAGCCAAAAACAGCAGCTGTAAAAACATCCAGTGTGCATGAGGACTATAGCTTGATACACATGCAAAAATGCTTGTTAACCACTTTTCCATCCGGCCCATGTATATAAATGGCCAGACGGGAGCAGTACAGGAGCAGGTGGCCGTTTATAAATGTCCTTCACATTCACTGCCTGTGTACGCTCCCTGGGAGCGCGCTGTACCGCAATCCGGTACCCGCTGTGTCCTATGGTCACTATGGTAACACTGTACTGCTAGGGTGACAGTATGTTAAAAAAAAAACATAATAGTATAAAAAAATAAAATAAAAATGTAAAAAAATTTCTTTAAAAATTATAATGTTTGGTTATAAACTAATTTGGTTTTTTTTTTTAACTAAAATGATAGCTGAATACATTTTGGCCAAGATTTATGAAGAAAGATTATTTATTTGCAAAATTTTATAAGCAACTAAAATGATAGCTGAATTTTTTGGCCAAGATTTAGAAAACATAAGAAAAACACTTTTTTTTTTTCAAAATGTTTTGACTTTTTCATTTATATAACAGAAAAATAAAAATCCCAGTGGTGAATAAATATGTATTCAAATAAGTTGGTGCAGCGCTAAATAGTAATACATATTAGTAAACATACAAGCCCTGGTAAGCCCTTATCCCTATGACTATGTGCAATGCACGAAACGCGTCAGGGGGGAACAGCAACTGGACATCTAGCCACAGCATACCCTGAATACATGTGCCCTTTTGGAGGATAGATGACCCTGATGGTGATACCTGGTAGCGGTTTCTGGTGACCTTTTCTGTGGAGCTGGGATAGTGATTCGTATGGTAACCTGACCCGAGATCTGATGACCTTTCTATAACCTGATGACGCAGGATTTATTATTGTGCATTCTAAACGCACATCTGGTGAGTGCGTTTTTTATCCATTCGTGTGGCTTGCACCTGTTGTCACTCCCGGATCAGGACGTCCACACACTTTGGAATTGTGATCTCTGATTGATCCACACGATTATTTTGAACTATATATCACGATTAATCACCTTAAGGTGATATCACCTATCCACATTTATTTGAAATTGCATGGCAGTATGTTTACTAATATGTATTACTATTTAGCGCTGCACCAACTTATTTGAATACATATATACTATTGGAGGGGTTTTTTTGGTTGCCTTTCGGTGTATCAGCTGCTTATTTATTTGAATGCATATACATATATGTGTGTATGTATATGTGTATTTATGTATCTACAAATATATATATATATACTCTTTGTTGTTCTTTTGGTAGCGCTCACTAAAATTTCTTCTATTGCAGTGGTGAATAAATACCATCAAAATAAAGTTTTATCTGTCTCAAAAAAATGCTAACAATTTCATATGGGTACAGTGTTGCATGACCGCGCAATTGTCATTCAAAGATTGATAGCACTGAAAGCTGAAAATTGGCCTGGGCAGGAAGGGGTGAAAGTGTCCAGACTGGAAGTGGTAAAATATCTATAATACACCTATAGAATGCCTGCAAAATGCTTCAAGATCACTGGAAATATGTTCTGCTAAGGTGTAAATGGAGGCTTATGGACAAAATTTGATTCTGGTTCTGTTTAATTGTAGATGTACCGTATTTTTCGCTCCATAAGACGCACTTTTTTCCCCCCAAAAAAAGGGGGGAAAATGTCAGTGCGTCTTATGGAGCGAATATGGAGCGGCCGGTCCGGTATTTCCACCGCGGCCGTGTCAGAATACCGGGCCGGCCGCTCAGCTCTGCAGTGGGACCTTACCTGTTCCTCTATCCAGCGGCGCGCTGTCTTCCCGGCTTCTGTAGTGTGCGTGACAGCCGGGTCCCATGTGCGCATGTGCAAGAAGCGGTGCTCTTTGTGAATGGTAAGGCGGTACCTGGGACACATGACAGATCCCAGAAGCCGCACTGGGCATCCGGCTGTCCGCCGAGCACCCACACTACAGAATCCGGGTAGACAGCGCGCGGCTGGATAGAGGAACAGGTAAGATCAAAGAACAACTCCGCGGAAGTGGGAACGGGTACCTGTCAAATTCAGGTACCCGCTCCCCCTCCCTCCCCAAAGGTCAGCAGTGTCTGGTCATCTCCTGTACTGTCCGCAGTCTCTGGTCATCCCTGTACTGTCCGCAGTCTCTGGTCATCTCCTGTACTGTGTCCGCAGTCTCTGGTCATCTCCTGTACTGTGTCCGCAGTCTCTGGTCATTCCCTGTACTGTGTCCGCAGTCTCTGGTCATTCCCTGTACTGTGTCCGCAGTCTCTGGTCATCTCATGTACTGTGTCCGCAGTCTCTGGTCATCTCATGTACTGTGTCCGCAGTTTCTGGTCATCTCCTGTACTGTGTCCGCAGTCTCTGGTCATCTCCTGTACTGTGTCCGCAGTCTCTGGTCATCTCCTGTACTGTGTCCGCAGTCTCTGGTCTTCTCCTGTACTGTCCGTCTCTGCATCTCCTGTACTGTGTCCGCAGTCTCTGGTCATCTCCTGTACTGTGTCCGCAGTCTCTGGTCATCTCATGTACTGTGTCCGCAGTTTCTGGTCATCTCCTGTACTGTGTCCGCAGTCTCTGGTCATCTCCTGTACTGTGTCCGCAGTCTCTGGTCATCTCCTGTACTGTGTCCGCAGTCTCTGGTCATCTCCTGTACTATGTCCGCAGTCTCTGGTCATCTCCTGTACTGTGTCCGCAGTCTCTGGTCATCTCCTGTACTATGTCCGCAGTCTCTGGTCATCTCCTGTACTGTCCGCGGTCTCTGGTCATCCCTGTACTGTCCGCAGTCTCTGGTCATCTCCTGTACTGTCCGCAGTCTCTGGTCATCCCTGTACTGTCCACAGTCTCTGGTCATCCCTGTACTGTCCGCAGTCTCTGGTCATCTCCTGTACTGTCCGCAGTCTCTGGTCATCCCTGTACTGTCCGCAGTCTCTGGTCATCTCTGTACTGTCCGCAGTCTCTGGTCATCTCCTGTACTGTCCGCAGTCTCTGGTCATCCCTGTACTGTCCGCAGTCTCCGGTTATCCCTGTACTGTCCGCAGTCTCTGTTCATCTCCTGTACTATGTCCGCAGTCTCTGGTCATCTCCTGTACTATGTGCGCAGTCTCTGGTCATCTCCTGTACCGTCTCCGCAGTCTCTGTTCATCTCCTCTACTATGTCCGCAGTCTTGGTCATCTCCTGTACTATGTCTGCAGTCCATTAGTTCAGAATTTTTTTTTCCTGTTTTCTGCCTCTAAAACCTAGGTGCGTCTTATGGTCAGGTGCGTCTTATGGAGCGAAAAATACGGTATATGTTCTCTGTTGCTTCGTCACCTTTTGGATATCACCTCAGGTTTAGAAAAAGAACACTGGATATATACATTTAAAAAATAAAAAAGTCAAGGTGCTTTTACATTGTAATTTGTCTTTTTTAATCTGATGTAATATTTCAGAGTTTACATTTCTGGTGGTTTGACTGTATTACTCATTACAAATCCTTCATTTAATTCCAGGCAATCTAAACAGGTAAGTACCTTGACCACAATGTAATCTATTCAAAAAAAAAAACGAAAGATAATCAAATCACTGTATAAACTGCCTACGGATTGCTAAATAGCATGCATCGGAATGAAACGAGTTAATTACACTGTACACCAACAATAATGTCAGTGTAGAAGAGTTTGCGTTCTGTTGACAGAAATACCACAAAACCAAGGGGAAGTGTGGGTGAGTGTGGGCAGGTCAGGTGGTCAGAAACCTCACTGTGTCACTCTCCAAGTCTGCCGATGATTGGATGATGATGCCTGTAGATACTGTTTAAATTCCCCTACTCCCGAGCCCTTACACTGCAAAACATTGCATCTGATTTCACAGAATCACTGCTTAATAGTGCAGGAGAGCTCCTTGCATTTTGCAGTATCAACTGGATTAGAGAGCAGCCAAGGTAAGGCACATAATCAGCTTCATCTGCTGATCATTTCACTGCTTTCATTCTATTTATTTCAATTGATACTTATGCACAGTAGTAATATTCACTTTTTATTTTTCAGATATTGATTTGAAAATGAAAACTGCTGTGATCATTGTGTGCCTTGTTGGCTTGGCCTATGCCTATCCCGTAAGTATCTATAAATCATTATGGTTTCTAAAAATATTTTTTGTGGGCAAAAGAATCCTGGAGCTAAGTATATTTAATATAATATTTTTAATGTACAAGAGTGAATGTTCACTTCTAATAATATGTACATTATGCTGTAAGCACTGCAGTAAGAAATTAAAAAGCAAGTCATTCACTGACAGATCTGGAGTGATCTGGAGTGATGTGATTTTTTTTAATTTTTTAATATTGTTTGCATTGCTATGTTAAAGCTTTGGTATTACACATACAATGAAAATGAAAGTAGTACCAGATTAATAATTGTTTTGGTACAAAAAGGGGTGAAAAGGGGCAAGGGAAAGCCGGGGAGTTCACCAAAGTTCAATGTAAAGAGAGGTGCCTCCATAATTACCTGGTAGGATGCTGCCTAAACATAAATAGAAAAACCAAAGAAAAGGAAAATAGGCTTTTGACTGCAGTCAATCATTATCCATAGGATTATTAAATTGTCTTGCTTATATACTGTGTTGGTATTATTATTATTATTATACAGGATTTATATAGCGCCAACAGTTTGCTCAGCGATTTACAAAATAAAGGGAGACAATACAGCAACAATACAATTCAATACAAGAGGGTTAGGAGGGCCCTGCTCCTTGGAGTTTACAATCTAGGAGGGAGGAGCTAGTGGTACAAAAGGTAATAACTGTGGGGGATGAACTGATATGAGGAATAGAAGATTCCATTATTAGCTGAAGGCAGGATAGGCTTCCCTGAAGAGATAGGTTTTCAGAGATTGCCTAAAAGTGGGCAGAGTAGGCGATAGTCGGATAGATTGGGGTAGAGAGTTCCAGAGGATGGGGAAGGCTCTGGTGAAATCCTGGAGATGAGCATGGGAGGAGGAGACAAGGGAGTTAGAGAGCAGGAGGTCATGGGAGGAGCGGAGAGGATGGTTTGGGTGATATTTGGAGACAAGATTAGTGATGTATTTTGGGGCAGAGTTATAAATGGTTTTATATGTTATTGTTAATGTTTTGAATTGTATTCATTGGGCAATGGGAAGCCAGTGGAGGGATTAGCAGAGAGGGTTGGCAGATATGGAATGGTTAGTAAGATGGATGAGTCTGGAAGCAGCATTCATGATAGACTGAAGAGGGGATATCCTGCGATTAAGTAGGCCAATGAGGAGGGAGTTCCAATAGTCAAAAGGCGAGAGATAACCAGGGAGTGAATAAGTTGCTTAGTAGTTTCAGAGGTTAAGAACTGGCGTATCTTGGAGATGTTGCGGAGGTGAAGATGGGTTATTAGAGTGGGGTTTGGGGGGTATGGGGGCCATAGTGGGTGAGTGTCACACCTCAGCTCCCTTCTTTCCTTTCTGGGAGAGGGGTGGTTGGGTGAGTGGGTTTGGGAGGGTCATTGTGGGAGCAGTGTTGAGGTACCTTGGGAGGCATTTGGGGGGCATTTTTTGTGGGATTGTTGAGAGGTGACAGTGGTGTTGGGGGAGGTGGGTTGGCTTTTAGGGAAGGTGCGGGTGCTGTGCATACTGAAGCACTTTGGACACTCTTTTGGTACTATCGATAGAGTGCCCACTGTGGGAGGTCCCCCCTATGTCAGGAGTGGGAGTGTTTTTACTTTGTATGTTTTCCAGGAATTAACATGTTTTTGAGGTTAGCCTTTTAGGTGTGTAGCCTATTTTCCTTTCTTTAGTTTTTCTAATAATTGTTTTGGACTACATCATAGGCCCATCCTAAGTAATCAGTCTTTACTCCCCTACTTATCCAGTGTTTCAGGATCACCTTGACACTACACTCAAAACTGGTTTTAGAAGATAGGCATTCAGCATATATATCTGTCATTTGAGGTATTCTGTAATGATGCAGAGTTACTGTTAGAAACTGTCATAACTGGCATTGTTTAATGTGCAATAGGTTTGATTCACTAAACTAACATGCCAGGACAGGGGCGGACTGACAACTCATGGGGCCCCTGGGCAATAGGGGATCATGGGGCCCCTGTGTCCTTGGCCAAACTCAAAAAAGCCTATGAAAAACCAGGGGCATCTCATGGGGCCCCCTATTGACCCCGGGCCCTCGGGCAGTGCCCAAGTTTCCAAATGGTCAGTCCACCCCCTGCGCCAGGATATAGAAGCTTATTGTCGAACAAAATATTTTATTTATGTACAGCAAATGTCAAATGGCTGAAAATAAAGACCCTTATCCTTGTGATAAACCTTTGTAAATTAAGCCTAATTTTGTCTAGGATTGGTTTGCATCTCTAACCTGTCCGACATCTTCCTGAAATCAGTTATTAGTAGCAATAAAATAAGCATTTTAAATAGGACAAAGCTGCAGCTGATGGTGACCGTTAATAAGACAACCATTTCTAACCAGGGTTCTGTGGAAACCTAGGGTTCCTCCAGTGAAAGCTAGGGGTTCCTTGAGCCATGGAAACTAACCTTTCATCTGATGACACCTGCATAGTTCTAGGCTCAACACCAGTTGACAGAGCCAGCAGTGTAACTGCAAATGTGTCATTCTGACCATCCTTCTAAGGGGGACATTCTTCTCATTCACCACCACCAATGTAAGGGGCATTTTCCCAATGACCCCATATGGACTAATCTACTTGGGGTTCCCTGAGACCTGAAAATCATTTTTAAGTGTTCCTCTGGGGTAAAAAGTTTGAAAAAGGCTAAGATAAGGTGAAAATAGAGGGTATGTACACATAGACTACATTTTCCGTAGTAGTTACAATCAAGGTCATTTATCATAGGTGTTTAGCCAAGACAAAGTTATATAACGTTAGAACCCCCTGATTAAGGAACATCCTGGTCAGGCTGCTTACCTCCATTTCATTACAGGATACAATACTCATTTGGAAATCAGAGGGAGGAACCAGTGAAATCTGCAGGGTACCAAGGAAATTGACACTCTTTGAAGTGTCAGTTTCCCATTAGACTTTGAGGGTCCATTTCTAATGAATGGAGTGGTGTTCAGGTCACTTAAATAATGTATTATTCCAAAATAATATACACACCAAATTTACAATTCCTTCTTGTTTGCTATAGTGGTAAATCTGTGCATACTTGCATACTGGTTTCATGTTCTGCTTTTACTAGGTAAGACCACAGAGGGATAGTGTCTCTGTTATTCTGTATGACAAATATTAATTTGACAAGTAAAGATTATTTTAAAAAATTAGGTGAAGCTTGAACTTGAAAATCATCTTACAGACAGGTTGGTTTCTTAAATTTCTTAAACATTTTTTAAATATATCTTTTTCTTTTAGGCATCATCAGACTCAAACTCTTCTCCCGTGGTTAGTATTGTGATGTATTCTTCTACCCTTGCATGAAAAATGTCAAATAATACAAATCTTGTCTTTTTTTTCCTACACATCTCCATGTTTTCTTGACTCCTTCGTTTATGAGGTCCACATTAAATATCATTTGCCATGTAGATGTCCCATAAACCAAAGTGTTTCGATACATTTAAAGTGTTATTAAACCCACAACAGTAAAGTCAGTTTGTATATGCAGTAAAGCATGCTTGTTATACTTACAGTGGAACCTAAGGGGTTAATCCTCTGCATTGTGTAAAAATGCTGTTTGATCCTGACTTCTCTGACCCTCCCCTTCTTCCAGTGTCCCCCTCTTATACCCTGATAAGGCATATTGTGTGGAGTCACTCTGCACATGCTCAGTTTGGTGTGTATTGCTAGAGAGGTTTGTTTTTTTTTTCTTGGGAGAATGCACATGATCAGCACAGGGCCAATCAGCACTGTCTAGACAGAGGTCAGGGGTTCTTTATCCTTCAAGAGCAGAAAGAAAACTCCTCCTGTAAGCTTTAACCAGTGCTCTGCTGGACACTGATAGAAGTCACAAGACTGCTACATACTGCTGATGAGAAAAGGTATTTAGCAGTTTATATTTACTAAAATAATTGCATTTCCATGTTTTCTGTACTGTGGGAGACCACCAGATATAGTGAATGCAGGGTACTGGGTTTAGTAACACTCTAGACATCACCTACGGTTTGAATTATAGTACATAACCGTGTGTCTTTTTCAAACACATAAATAGTGTTTTTATTTTAAATTCTGTGTCAAACTCTACAGCCACAATTCCTACATTCATGCACAGAAAATCATTAGTGGGAGGACTATCAAGGTTAGGCCTTCATTCTACCAGTGGACCACCACTAATGGCTGTTCTAACAATGATTGGGTATTGATTATTATTCTTTTTTTCTCATGTTTGTAGGATTCGCCTGAAAGTCACGATACTTCTTCTTCTTCGTCGTCAGAAGAGTTCACTGCTCGCCCTGCAGTAAATATTACACTGGAGCCCTTAACTGATCAACCAAGAGGTGATAGCCTGCGGCTCAGACGTGCTTTAAGACAGGTATATGCCACAAAGATATTCCGATCAACTTTTGTTCAATCACCCTGTCTGATTTTCTCTGTTTGATCAGCGCAGCAGGCTGTAGACTGCAACTCTGATCAGTGTATTTTGACAGAGCAGAAATCTCCTCTCTGTCAGAATACAATGACCACCAAATGTGTGAGTCATTTTTTTTTCAAGTCTCTAGTTGAAAAATGACCCATGTATGGTCAGCCTAACTTGCCAATCAGTGGATTCACACCAGTTCATTTAGTGGATATGTGGATTCTCACATACACTTCAGCACTAGAATTGAAAAGCACCATTTAGTTGGTTTGCAATGACTTGATGCCAACCAACAAAATAGTGTCTCACAGTTTTGGTAGTAAGTAGTGCTCGATAGTAGCAATTAGTCAACTAACACGAAGCAGTTGCATTGACCAGGATTCCCTGATGTCAGTAAGGAGAAATGCTGTCCTAGGATTTGTCATCAAGCAGAGAGGTTCCTTGACCACCTGAGTTTACAGATTCCATTTTGGACAAACAGCAAAGCAGCCACCTAGAAGTCAGGCTACAGCCACTCATTTGAGAAGAGGGGTAATTATGTAACTCTTTCCTGCCTGCAATCTGTATGTTAATATTCCCTGGCACATTAACTCCTTCCCGTCCAGCCCCGGTGTACATTTAAAGCGGAGTTCCACCCAAAAGGGGAAGTTCCGTTTTAAGGCTTTGTCCCCCGTTCCCCATTAAGGATTGGCACCTTTGGGGAGCGGGTACCCAAATTTGACAGGTACCCGTTCCCACTTCCGCTGCGATCGCCTAGGTCATCAGAAGTGGAAGTTAACCTCCCTCCCTCCTTGTAGTGTTCTGGGACACGTGACAGGTCCCAGAAGACTACGGGGGCATTCACAAAGTGCAGCGCTTCTCGCGCATACGCAGTGGGCACCTGGCTGTGAACCCGCAAGCTGTCACAGCAGGGTGCCCATACTGAAGATGCCGGTGCCAGGGAGACAAGACGGCCGGTGAAACCAGCCATGGTGAGGACACCACTGGACTGAGGGACAGGTAAGTGGCTCTATTTTAAAAGTCAGCAGCTACAGTTTTTGTAGCTGCTTCTATTTTATTTTTTTTAAGATGGAACTCTGCTTTAACAGGGTGTTTATGGGGGTTGCTAAACTGTACAAGTGCAAGCAGAAATGTATTCCCTGAAATCTTCTGAACTCAAGTGAATGGAACTTCACTTGTAGGCATTGAACTTATCATTAACCCTAGGTTCACAGCTATGCAGGTTGCGTTTGAGGCATTTCTGTATTGCGTTTTGCATTTTTGCACTCGCGTTTTTTATGCTTTTTCTTTTCCTATTTTTTTTTCTTGTTTCTAGTCCGATTTTAAATGCAAAAAGGTGGCAAAAACACAGTTAAAATGCACTACATCCTTTTCTGCAGCATTCCTATTGAAGTCTATAGAAACATAAACGCAACATTTTGCGTTCAGAAAAGTCCCTGGCCCTTTCCAAAAAACGCACCGGGTGAAACCGCAGAGATGTGAACCTGTCCCATAGGAAATCATGTTAAATGGACTGTACTGCATTTCTGCAAAACGCTGCATAAAACGCTTAGGTGCGAACCTAGGGTTAAGGGCAATAGGGGGTGTCACGATCGCACGGTCGCCGCCACCAACATGCGACAATCGCACGACCGCAACTAACAGTAATACGTCACGCCCCGCAGCATCAGACCCCAGACCTTCTCACCAACTCGTGACCGAAGGACTGGCTGATCTAAAACCGTGGCGTGATGCGCGTAACAAGGCCCCACCCAGCTGCACCCTGCACAGCGATTGTCCAGCTAATGGCTACAATCGGTGCCTGCAGCCTGAATGCGCTTGTTACTGGGTCGGGTTAATTACGCAACTAACCCTCTACTGCCACCACCACTTTTGTCGGAGACTGGGAAACTCCCGTTATCAAATATACACTATAATGATTGAAAAGTCGCCTGTCCAATACGGTCACCGCAGGCCGATTGGGCAGAGGATTAAACAAACACAGTAGCGTCTCTTCAAAGGCAGGAATTCGTGAATTGCAAGTAAGCGCTTAGAAACAGTTTAACACTTTCAGAAAGAAAGATTTATTACTAAAAGAGTCAAACAGGTGCAATAAAAATATTTACAAAGAAAATGTAACTATATATATATATATATATATATATATATATATGCATATAAAGGTACAGCAAAGAGATAATAGGAAGGAAATTAAAGAGTTAAGTTACTTGCCAATATGCCTTGGTTTGTAAGCAGATCCAAGTGCAGAGCAGGAAGGGTCTTTGATCTCCTCTGTTACTATGTTAAACTCAGGAGATGTGTGTCTTAAACTTAGCTTTTAGGCTTGCAGCCTGTCCTTTTTTAAAAATCCCCCTGCAGGGGGGGGGGTGGCTCTGAGTCTGCCCAATACAATATTTTGGGCAGGAGGTCAGTGGACTCTCAATTAAAACTAACAGCTTCATACTCCATGATATGAAACATAGGTGACAGCTGACCTGAGGAATGTTCAATTAACTGCTGGTCAGTTTTATGAGGCTCCAACTTCTTTCAAGTCCGGGGAGAAGCTGCCTTATCTGTTTTTATGATGGTGAGAAAGGTTCCACTGTTCAGAAAGGTTCGAAAAAATCTTAAAGCTGTGATTTCAGGTGTAGAGTTACCAGATTTTGTAAATATGTTTTATTTTTTATTCTGCACGTTTTCCTAATTTATTATGTCAAAACATATATACAATAAAGATAAAAATGTTTCTTTAAAAACTTCTAACCCAAAAAATATAAATAACTTTTACCTAAAACTATTACAGTTTTCCGTTAAGCAAAATGAAAGGATGCCTAGGTATACGTGAGACTATGCAGTTATGATATATGTATTTTCAGATAAATGTATTACAGTTTTCAATGGCATGTTTTAATATTTTTCCCATAGTTTGTATCTTCAAGTGAAAGTCACAGCAAATCTATCTCAAACTCCAGCCCTGACTCCTCCTCTTCTTCTGAAGAATTCAGAACTGTTCCTACCGCCGATGGGACAACAGCTGGTCAAGCACTGACAGAAAACCTGCGCCGTAAACGTGCCGCTGGACAGGTAATATATCTCATGATTGAATGATGAGTTATAATTGATCACAGTAGTGGTAAGCATGCAAAGTATTACATTTCACACATGACTTTTATACTTTTTAAATATTGTCATACTAAAAACATTAATTTTAGTACACACAAATACAATATAATTGATACTTTTTTTCTCACTGTGGTATTAACCTGCAGATCAGAGGAATAGTTTCTGGGTTCAACATTTATTTTAAAAATTAAAGGATGACTTTGTGTCCAGTAAATAGATTCCAAATATGTTATGCTATCAAACATTGGGTGCCCACAAAACAGCGAAAAAATACCCCAGATTGGCTGTAGAGAATGCTTGAAAAACCTTTACAACTCAGAAGTCTAAAATTAACTGTAAATGATGAACCTGGAATTATTTCTCTAATTCTGGCATGCAGGGCGATACAAAATATGTGTTGTGCAATTGGCGATTATACATGCATGCGCACTTTAAGCATGTTTGCATCCATATGTACAAGGGATGGGGAGCTTTTTTTTTTTTTTTTTTTGTGTTACATTTTAAATATATAGCCACATTTTTTTTTTACTGTACTTTATTACTATCACAAGGAGCCTCCCTACATCAGGAATGCTGATCCCCAATGGTGTAGGTAGTGCTCAAACACTGAGTATGAAGGTGCCTCATGACTAAGGCCACATGCACACTGGGCGTTTAGTCTGTGTGTGCCCAGGAGGCAGAGATGCAGCCAGGGCTGCTATTATAAACCATGCGGCCCCGTACAGCCAAACTGACAGGACCCCCGCAAAAAAAACAGTTTACAATGCTTCAGTTATGAATGAACACAGTGAGTGATCAATAACAATTACTCATTGTGTTCAATCAGGAAAGAAAGGGGCTGGTAAATGCAAAATATTTACCAGACCCTTCCCCCACTCTCCTTCCTGAAGGATTCTATTGTGTGCTTGCAGCTGCCGGTGGGAAAAAAAGGAGGTAACTCGGGGAGCCTGGGCAGTAGGGGGAAGCATATGGTGTACAGGGAGGATGAGAGGTATGGTGGGGGGGGGGGGGGATTTACTGGACCTGATTCCTTGTATGCATCTCTCTGCAGCAGCTTAAAGCAAGTAGGAGGGAGAGGAGAATAAGCTAGCTTTCAGCTACTGCAAAGAGCCATACAGTGGATCGGTCCCAGTAATTGCCGCCCTACCATGCCGACCACCCTCCATGCCCACATCCATTTCACCAGCTGCCTGGGCCCCCCTGCTGGCCTAGGCCCCATATGGGAGGGCTGGTGGTACCCCCTTATCCACAACCCTGGATGCAGCATCTAGTCCTGCTGCTTGCAACCTGTCAAACTCTATGGCAGACTGAAATATGGTGTGGCTGGACAAGGCTAAACTCTGTACTGAGTGGAACTTGCATTTAGGGCACTATACGTTCAGGGACATATGCCCAGAATGTAGATATTCTGTGCTCTGTGCATTTGTCCCTGAATGCATAGGGTACTAAATGGGGCAGGACAGTGGCTAAATGGTTAGCACTTCCACCTGGAAGCACTAGGGTCGTTATTTCGAATCCCAACCATGGCATCACTTGCCTGGAGTTTGCATGTTCTCCCTGTGCCTGCATGGGCTTCCTCCGGGTACTCCAATTTCCTCCCACACTCCAAAGACATGCTGGTAGGTTAATTGTTTCTTGTCTAAATTAGCCCTAGTATGTGTATGTGAGTTAGGGACCTTAGATTGTACACCCCTTGAGGGTTAGGGACTGATGTGAATGTACAATATATATGTAAAGCGCTGCGTAAATTGATAGTGCTATACAAGTACCTGTAATAAATAAATGCAAGTACCACCCACTATAGCAATCAGCCCTGGCCAGCCACAGTATCTTTCAGCCTGGCCTAGACCTTGAAAGGCTGGATGCTGCACTTGTGCCTCCTGGGAGCATTAAAATCTTGGGTTTAGATGCAAATGAGCTAAACACTTAGTGTGCATGTGGCCAAATTTATGTTTAGGAACACTGCTTCAAAAAAGCATAAAATAAATTTCCAGCATTAATTGTATTGTCTTGTATTTGAAACAGAAACCTCATAGCAGCTCCTCAGAGCATTCTTCTGAAAGTACAACCACTGAGAGCACAAGCAGCCACACATCTGAGAGTTCAGAAGAAGATAGCCACGAGCGCAGCACGAAGCAGAACCTGTTGCAGGGTATCCTAGAGACATCCACTGTACCCGACACTTCCGAGGAGAGCTCAGAGGAGAGAACAACAAATACTCCCATCTTCCAACCCTAAGCACATCAGCGGACCATGACATTTATTGTTTCTGCCTTTCTCTCTTTCTATTTGAGTGAATGGTTTATGTAATGTAATTAATGCAGATCACATGGACACGTGTGTTTAAAGTAAAGACTTGCACTGTATCCAACCTTGTTCTAAATTTAGGCCCTCCTATCATTACAAACCATTATAATGTCCATGCCTGATATAAATATATATATACACATACAATATATATATATGGAAATCTTAATCCTAACCTAATTATAAGACAATGGTAAATGTTTACCACTGCATGATGGCATGGGTCTTGGTCAAAGCCACCAAAACTTAGATGTAAAATCCCCTAGCTGCTATAGAATCTTCCCATGAATTTTATTCAGTGGTGTATAATTAATGCCACCACTACCTCTCCTTAGCCAGTGTAACAAATCAGTGTGTATGAGTGGCCTTTATTACTGTATTGGCTCAAACATGAGCTTCCAAGATAACTTATGGATATGAATGTTTATTGTATCTGCTGCTGATATATAATTGACACATCACTAATAGACTACTTTCATAACACTAGGGACATATATGCAATTTCCAGTATTTGTTGCATTGCAGAAATACACCTCTTTCTACTGCATGCATTTATACTTGACTGTAATGACTGTATAGAAATTAAGTAAGTTTAAGCCTCACAATCACTTACCTTACTTCCTGTATAATCACCTCAATTCAATATCATTTTTTATCTCAATAAAGATCTATAGACATTATTCTCTTCTGTGTCCAGTTGTTTTATCATGTCTATGATAAAATTGGAAAAGACCTGCATGAGCCATTGTACACTGGGACATTGTGATAAAATTATTAAAGTGTTACTAAACCCACAGTAGTAAAATCAGTCTGTATATGCAGTAGAGCATGCTTGTTATACTCATTGTGGAACCTAAGCGGTTAATCCTCTGCATTGTGTAAAAAGGCTGTTTGATCCTTTCTTCTCTGTTCCTCCCCTTTTTAAAGCGACCACCACTTATATCTCCAGACTGAACTGTAGACATGCACATGCTCAGTTTGGTGTATATTGCTAGAGAGGTTTTTTTTTTTTCTTGGGAGAGTGCATGTGATCAGCACAGGGCCAATTAGCACTGTCCAGACAGAAGTCAGGGTATTTCCATCCTCTTAGAGCAGAATGAAAACTCCTCCTACAAGCTTTAGCTAGTGCTGGGCTAGACACAGGTATAAGCCACAAGACTGCTATATACCGCTGATGAGAAAAAGTATTTAGCAGTTTATATTTACTAAAATAATTGCACTTCCATGTTGTGTGTACAGTGGGAGACCAGATACAGTGGATGCAGGGTCCTGGGTTTAGTAACACTTTAATATAATTTGTAAACTTGTCAAAGCTACTGATGAAATGTTAACAGATGGATTCAGGTTCAAGGACAAAAATAAAGATATAGCAAAAGAAGGGTGAAATATACAGATGAGACTAGGAGAATGGAGTGAGAATATTATTCTTATGCTGCTTTCAAGGGGCAGGACGTGGAAAAAATATTATCACCTAGCTATTGTGTCAAGCCAGGTGGTCAGTGAGTTCTTTCCGCTCTCTCTCGCCAATCCTTGCTCTGCAGCCTAGTTCAGCAGTTAAGCCATCAGCACACCTCCTTCTCCTTCAATCTCCCTCTGCACTCTCCTAGCCAATTTCCCAGGCTTTGATATTTATATGCTCCCACCCACATGCTACCTCTCCTGGGAAATGTAGTCCCAAGCATTTATCAGCCAAGTCCTGCTGTTTAAAAATACAAGTTCCAGAGGGCTGTTCAATCAATGTGAACAATCCTGAATAGCAGCTCACTGCCATCTAATATCTATTTTAATGTATTGTGAGTAATAACATTTCAATGGGTTACACACTCCTCCCACTTGAAATATTTGGTCCCCAAAAGAATTAGAACAAAACAAACTGACGTTTGGCAACTCATATTTACATTAAATAAAGAAATAAAACCCCATTATTCGGGAGGAGCTATCATTGGCTAGATTGTAAGCTCCAAGGAGCAGGGCCCTCGAACCCCTCCTGTATTGTATTGTTACTGTACTGTCTCGTGTGCTGTCTCCCATTATAATGTACAGCGCTGAGCAAACCGTTGGCACTATATAAATACTGTATAATAATAATAATTGGCAAATATACACTATTACACTATTACCCAATTGCTGCAGTACTGATTCCCATTCAGGGTTAGGAGACTCTGATTGCCCAAGAAATAAGGCAATAACTGTAGAAACCTCCTCAGAGATGGTGTCAGCAGAGAGGGTTACAGGTTCTAGAAGTTGATCTAATAAGGTATCAGTCTCAAAGACTTCTTCAGAGTTAATGGTAGCAAGGGAGTTTACAGAGTCCCGAATCTGCGCTAACAAGCTATAGATAGGAGCCTCTTAGATTGTTTGACTTCCATGGAAGGCTTCTTCAGAGCTTTCTCCCAGGACATCATAATTCAGTGTTTTAGGTGCTTTTATTTCTCTTTCTCTAAACTCCTTCTGAGGAGAAACACTCTCTGCTTCTTCCGGGAAAACATCCTTTCCTGAATTGAGGAGTTCAACCGCCTCTTCGACTGCAGATCCTGTTTAAGAACTCATTGGGGAATCAATTACAGGTTCAGGACTAAGGAAGTCTTTGATGTTGAAACCTGGCGAGGCAGTAGGTTCAGCAAATGCTGTAGGGATTGTTTCTGGCAGAAAACTTGTAAAAGGGGCATCTGAACTTGAGACAGGGGTAGATGCCAATAGACTGTCTTTTAAAGCCATTAAGAGTGGACGCCAATCCATTCCTATATCTATCCAATCTTTCTCTTCATTCCCCTCCTCTTCTGAGTCTGGAACAGGATGAGGAGGTGATGGGGGAAATCTGCAAGCCCGAGTCCCGACAATGGGTGATTCATCTACCTGAATTGGGACCCGCATAGCATCAGATAAAGGTAGGCGGTGGTTACGGTGCCATGATTTGACTGGGCCTTTCTTCCCCTCTGGGAAAATCTGATAAACAGGTAGATGGAGTAACTTCTGACAGACAATGAAAGGTTGAGATTTCCAGTGAGCTGCAATTTTGTGTTTCCCTGGTATATCAAGGTTCGTTAATAGCACTCAATCTCCTGGTTTCAAATCCTGGTGTTTCACCTTGGTATTATAACGTTGTTTATCTCTCTGCTCTGCTAGTTGAGAGGCTCACCTAGCTTCTTCAAAAGCATACTCCAGCTGATATTTCAGTCTCTCAACATACCCTTGATGCGATAAGGGGGTCAAGTGATCAGGAGCAGTGCCAAAGGCCAAGTCCATGGGCAACTTAGCCTCCTGCCCAAATATCAGATGACAGGGAGCAAACTCTGTGGCATCATTCTTAGTACTGTTATAGGCTTGAATCACTGCGGCAATGTGTTGACTCCACTGTTGCTTCTTCTCCAACGACAGAGTACCCAGCATGTTCAGAAGAGTTCTGTTGAAATGTTATGGTTGAGGGTCACCTTGAGGATAATAAGGGGTAGTTCTGGACTTTTTGTTGCCTAACAAGGTCAATAACTCCTTAATCAGTTTGCTTTCAAAGTCTGCTCTGATCTGAGTGGATTCTCTGTGGAAGCCCATAGTGCACAAAGAACTGTTCTACTAGAACTTTTGCCATAGGTGATGCTTGCATGTTCTTTGGGGAACAACTGAGAATATCTAGTGAAGTTATCTGTCACTACCAGGACATTCCCCCTTCCACTAAGATCGGGTTCCAGACACAAGAAATCAATGCACACCAGCTCCATTGGTCCTTGGTTGTGGAGGTGGCCCAAGGAAGGCGGTTCGTTTACGTAATGTCTTCCTTTGGATACAGCTGATAACAGGTGCGACAGTATTCCTCTACTCCAGATTTCATACGTGGCCAATAGCACCAGTCTCTCACTAAAAGTTAGGTTCTTTCCTGACCCAGGTGCCCATGATCATCATGTAATGACTTCAACACCATTTTATCTAATCTCAAGGGTAAAAAGAGCTGCCAAAGATCTTCACTTCGGTCCGAGGGGCCCCTTTGGTAGACCACCCTGTCCCTCAGTTCCAATCTGTCCCACTGTTGATGGACAATCTTGGCATCAGGAGGATCTTCTACCCATAATAGATCAGGTTGCTTCTTCACAAGAGCCCTTCTTGTGATCTGACAGAGGGGATCTTGATCCTGAGCCTCTTGCATATCTTTGTTGGTAAGGTGTTGTAACTCTTAGACGTCCAACTGAGAAGCATTGCAATAATAGGATGGGATGCAAGCACTCCAGGCCCCCACTACTGCAGCATACGTCACACCTTTGGCTATGTACTCAGCTCCCTGACTCATGCTAATACTTCCTCTGGGGATACCTGTAGCCAGTTTAATCCAGAGTTCTGGCAGTACAGCAGTTTTTTCTAGTTCAAATGGAGTCTCCAACAGGTATCGATTTTTTAAGGCATGTGTGGGATGACAGCTTGAAGCTAAGAATTGCCAGCACAAGATTTCCAAAAAGTGGTCATGGAATCCTGACCTGTTTCCACTTTGCCCACTGATGTCCCATCTAGAGATGGGAAGGCCTGGGGGTAAAAAAAAAAAAAATTGGGGGAATAAAAGCAGTTTTTTCAAAAGCCATTTTTGTTATTTTTTCTGGAAAAACTGGAAGAAAATAAAACATAAAAAAGTGTGGAATATGTTCTTTTAAATGATAAAAAAAATATATCTATGGCATGGTATTCAAACATTTCTGAGACTTTATGTAAAATTCTCTCAGCTGAAGACAAGCAAATCTTGGAATACAATTCAAGTAACACTATACTTCTTAATGCAGTTCTCAGACAAGAAAAATCTGCATTTCTGCCAATAGTGAGCACTGCAGGGGAAAGGCTCCAATTTAGTTTTCTTGTAGGCTCCATCTTGTACCTCCTACAGGGGGTGTTTGTTGGGATACTGTACATGATAGTTTCAGTCCTCTTCTCAGGCCTTAATTGACAGGTAACAG